AGCAAAATTCCCGACTGATACCGAGAACGAATCTCTACCAGTCTATTTAGTTAATCGGCAACTGACGAGATCCACAAGATTAGGATCGAAACCGCGGTCTTGCCTGACCATCTACAGAAAATTTCGAAAGACATTATAACGGCAGATGGGCTACTAAACGCCCCGGGCCAAAGCAATGCCATTCAGAGAATGAAGAAAACATGGAAGCCTCATACGACACCGCCACTGAAGATGATCTACTCGGCAAGTCTGAGGATAACGAACAAATCCCTCTGTACCAAATGCCTAGCAGAACATGCCCAGAATCCCTACAATATAGGGCGAGGGCCAAAATAAGAGCAGACGAGGATTTCAAAAATGAGATAAAGCAAATCCTTAACAACGCGGAGCAAGAAACAGTAAAGGCGATCATGTGCTTCTATGAACGTGAAATCGGTCGTTTTAATACCGAAATAAAGAAAAGAAAACGAGCCAAAACGGCTGGAACACTGAACACTAAGAACTGTAGTACGATCGAATCAGCGCGCGTGGCGCAAGCTGAAAGCAATCAAGACAACTTAACGATCGAGACAGTCAAAAAAATAGCTGTACATCTACAAAGGCGAACGATTCGAAAAAGACGCAATCCCTGATGTGCGTACTCAGTGCCACACATAAAGCAAATTCTCATGAAAAACTGGCATTTAATAGAAACACAACCACTACTGAGCGAACTATACAAAAATCCGCCGCTCGTATCTTACAAAAGAGGGCGGTCGCTCAAAGACATACTCGTGAGGGCTAAACTTTGAATAGGCTACTCTAAACACACGCTTGGGAGTCGTGTAGGCCTGTCAACCCCATTTACGCCACCATCTTCCTCTTCGCTACTGGAGACAACTTCGCCTCGTTCAGAAGAAGATTCGCTTGACAAAACTTCAATGTCTTCCATCTCCTTCGCCCCCGAATACAAACAAACAGTGAGTGAAATAAACCACGCTATCGGAGTGAACACAACCAGTGACATCATCAATCCATTTCGCTCGATACCAGGACCCGGATATGGTTTTGTGTAAAATTTTTTATTTGAACGGTTAAAAAAGATATCTTTCGCTTCTTTTTGGCCAAAGCAAATTATCTCATGATGATCAGCATAATCAAAAGTACAGGTTAGAGCAAATATTTGAGATACGAAAATTTCGTTTCAGTAGCACTTTAATATTTTCGATTTAATGGATTTCTTGAACCACCAGCTGTTCTGTCAAATTTCGAGCCGTCATTTTTCTTGCTCTATTGGCAATTCGAGGTTTGTGCGCTTGTGTGAGTATTTCATTTCTCTTAGAGAAATGTGTTTAAAACTGTAGGAACGTCACCATTGAAGAAGGAAATATTTCTGTTGGGTTCAAAAGGAAAAAGAGCAATTACTTTCAAAAGGATCCACGGAAATATCGTTCAACAGAGAGAAAAATACCCTTCCGATTATCTTAAATAAACTCAGACACACGTATTCTATGGTATATTGCTACTGGTGTCTGAATAATTGTTAGCAAAAATAAACTGCATCGGTGCCATGGCGTTGGGACTAAAACATGTTTTTTTCGAAGAACAAGTAATGAAAGGGAATATCCAAGTGATAATGAGCTAATTTTTGTATCCTTTGTATTTTAGATGAAACTCGAAACAATTCTTCTGGTGACGGCGTTTTTAGTGGCGACTGCTACCTTATCATCAGCGAATGAATGCCTTAACTGTGACACTGTTTACACGATGTGTATTGGCGCGTGCAACACCATGGGGCAATGCACTCTGTGTACCGAGAAGAGTGACGCATGTAAGGCTACACATTGTGGTAGAAAACGAACCTTTCGACCAAGATTTCGGACCTTCAATGACTTTATGAGCCAAAAACGGGTTCAAGAGATACCGAAATGAAGAAGAGAACTTTTAAAAGAATCGCCCATGTAGCAATGAAATAATTGTATTAGATAATTGATGTAGTGAGAGTATTTACTATTGTAACCTTATTCCATTCATTAAAAAGCCTTTAGAAAAACTATCTGCTCTCCCAATTGTTGTATCACACTTCTTCATGATGCTTTTTCTCGTACGTCAAATGACTGAAGCAAAATCTCTTTTGGAGTGCACGTGGGGTTCGTCGTTCAGGACTTGACTCACCTCCAACGGCTGTAAAAATCCCTTCTTTTTTTCTTTGGTTTTTCGGTTTGCTTTGAATGGGGGTAGGGTAGTTCCTTTTTCGGGTGCGCTCTTTTGAGACTAAACCTTTAGCTGTTCTTTAGCAAAGTTATAACGTTCAATGGCATTTGAAGACAAGCATCTGTATCATTTGACATTTATTAGCTCGCAAAGTACTTTCATTTGCACGATAATCAATTTTCATTAACAGTAACGTCTAAGCAATTGAGCCAATTGATTTATCACTTTCACGGGTTTATTACGAATCAACTTAACGGCCTGCTCCCAGTTGGCTTGTTAGCTCAATTGGTAGAGCGCTGCACTAGTATCGCAGAGGTCAGTGGTTCGAATCCCGTACAGGCCTGACTTTTTTTTTCAGGTCTGATTTTCGCTATTGCTTAAATAGCGCTATCTACTGCGAGGATCGTGCATCATACGTATTAAATATATTGGTAGGAATTTTGGAAAATTATTTACAAACGAAAGGCACCACCCTAGACACAAACTTTACGCGCAGTACCCCTCCCAGTCCCGATTAAGTTACACTAATGGATCCTACTGGCAACAAAGCAATCATACAGCGTGAAGATTTCGTTTCTCAATGCTATTCTGACAATCTAAGGATGGAGAATTGCTATTTGCTGGGTCGAAGTTAACATTTTATCGTTTCACACTATGCGGTAAGAGATCAGTCTGTGTCAGCTGTAATCAAGTTTGATGTCTTTGCGTGGGGTATGGTTGCCCATATTGTCCGAGCCAGAGGCTCATATAATAGCAAGACAACATCCACCCATCCCACCTCAGGGGAGGACATCCATCACACTGTAATCTCGTGCGCGGGAAATTAACGTCTCCTACCCCTAACCCTGCAGGAGATGGGACCTCCATTCATTCGTCCCTATCCGAGAAGACTAGAATATCTAAACCATTTCATGATGTTATAGAAAGGCAGCATATTCTTCTCGAACCCTCGGCCCCCTGCACATCAGTCCAGCGCTCTATCAATTGAGCTAACCGGGAGGCGGAGCTCGAGTGTTACTTAAACTTGACAAAGCCTCGAAGCAAAGTTAAAAAGCTGACGTATGGGGGGGGGGGCTAGCCTTTGGTCAGGACCTTTTCGCGCCTTAGCTGCTTTTCAAAATACCCCAAGGTAATTTATCTTCATTTATCAAGCTCTTTTGATAATGAAACTAGGTATTGGACTCGCCTTCGAGCGTCATAACCGCAGCCGCGGCGTTCACCGACAAAAAGCTCCTACAAAAAATGGCCATTTTTGGAAAGAGACTTTCATATCTTTACCACCTGTGCGTTTAAATGCCTCAGTGGTTGGTTTGTGCTTATCTTGTATCACCGCGTTTGAACAGGTCGTGCAACATTGTTGAAAATGTAAAAAAATGTTGAAAGCTTGTTAAAAGCCTCGGCTCAACTTTGTTTTTGCGTCTAACATTTGCCCAACAGCCGTTCAACTTTTGTTGAATGAGTGTTGGTCAAACGTTGAAACCGTTTAAACGGGCCTTTACGGCTATCTCAGTGGCTATACCATGCTAGCGGGGACCAAAACACTTTGTTCGAACTAACTGGCATTTGTTCCAAATCAATTCCAAGGAAGCCAAACACAAACCTGGCGGAAGCTGGTAAGTAACTTTTTAATACTGTTAAAAATGATGCAATAGTGTGACTGTTGATGTGAAAATTACGAGGAGGTAACTTGAGAGTTCTCGCACGAAAAAAAAAGGGAAAAGAGGAAAACAAGAGACAAGGTTCCACACTTTTGTAGTGTTGTTGTTGTCGTCAGAAGTGTTTTGTTTGAAAGCACCCAGCCGCAAGACCATAGCTTTCTTCGTTACTCCATAAAGTTATCGACTATTGTTTCGGGGGTGAATAGAAGAAATCAGCTTGTTTTACGATCCAACAAAGATAATCTTATCATTTATCTGCTCCAACATGGATACAGGAGGAGTTATGTTATTATATTTCGATACAACCCAGAGGTGTACAAACATCCGCGCGAGGACAAGGTAAGAAAGGAGAAAGTTTACTTCCAGATTTGTGTGAACAGACACCTTACTTTTTTGACGGGCGAAAATAGAACGCATATCAAATAAAAAAGCTCGCGCAAATATGACGACTTTCCGCGTGATAGTTGAACCGTTGTACTAACGCATTTACGATTGCGTGCCGAACTTGAACTTCGATAAAAATAGGATGTGGAAGAAACTGCAATCCGTGTTGCTGTTAGCCTTTTAGCTTTTTAACAGTAAAATATGGCAAAGATTCGCGGAGGAGGGACGTGAAAACGACAGCAGGAACAAAGGCTTCGTAAACCGGAGAGTTGTTTCTCAAGTGACAACGAGAAACATCGACACTCCGATGAGCTCTACCGAAATGATACAGAAATGCGTGAAGATAGAAGCAGGCATGTTAAAATAACTGTAGACAGAAGAAAGTATCTACATTTCGGGTTGATTTCAGAATTTCAATTCCCGTGTGTAACGCAAGTCACGACAATACCTAAGACGGTTCACAGCCTACTTTTTTCGCCGCTTAGTTTTGATCGACATCAACTTCGCGTGAGAGTTGAGTACAAGTAACAATAGGGTGGACACAGTGATCAAGCTCCCTCCCTCCTCGCACACCGCACTCGTGATTTTGTGTGCGCAACAGCTGGAAGGCAGGAGCTGGAAGTTAACAGTACTTTGTTAATATAACGAACATGCCTTTTTTCGGAGAGCCTCTTGTTGTTTACGCTAAACCTCAAGCAGACTGACCTCAGTAGCTCACGGCACTTTAAGTGAGCGTGAGTAGTCCAGTGGTCAGTGCGCTGGACTCTAGGTCAAACGGCCCGGGTTCAATTCCTGGCTGGGGCTTAACGTTGTGTCCTTAAGCAAGACACTTCACTCACATTGTTTCGTCTTCTCGGATAGGACGTAAAGCCGGAGGTCCCGTCTCTTAAAGGGTAAGGGGTAAAAGACGTTAATTTCCCACGCACGAGATTACTGTGTGCTGGATGTCCTCCCCTGGGGTGGGTTGGGTAGGAAAACAGCAGGTCCACATCAGGTCTACATCAGCTTATACAGTTGCCAATAAATTCAACCTGCTTGAACAAATAAACATGATGATGAAGTGCTAGTTTCAGACATTCATCTATGCTAATGAAGAACTCTTCCGGTTTTGTCTCATAGGGAAAATGAAGATGACTGGCTTATGCAAACATCATGTGGTTACGATTATGACTTACATTATGAACTTGACACCCACAAACACAGCTGGGAAAACAACAAACAGGCTCAGGAAGAGGAAAGCGACATACTGAAGAAAACCAAGTTAACTGAAAGAAGAGATCAAGAAGATAAACCGACTGATACCAAAACACAGACAAGAGAGGACAGAATAGAGAGTCTGAAAGCTCTCCTTCGAAAGCATGAGGAAGCCATTGAGAAGTTAAGGCCCGATGCAAAGAAAGACAAGCAGAAAAAATGTTTTACCATTGCCAAAAATAGAAAAAATAATGCATCAAGAAGCAATCCCTCCACAGAAGCAGTGGATCACCCCTCAAAAAGGAAAAGTCGTAGAAGGAAAACGAAAAAAGCTGAGCCTTGTACAATTAGGGTGGTTAATACCAGAGAAGTTGATATTTTGATGAGTAAGGGAGACCTTATCACTAAGGATGAGTTCCTGGCTGTGATAGGCCTGGTTCGAGTCACAAAACTTCATTCAGTATAACCAACTTAATTTCTTTTTTCCTTTATCCTTTTATTGATTTTTTTAAATCTGTCTGTACAAACAACTTAGCTCTATAGAACATTGATCATCATAACTAGTATATAAAGGTAAGGAGCTTATCAGTTTCATTAAAGTTTCTGAGGGTCGTATCAAATCACTTAGAACATAGGTTTATTACCTGTTACAATAAGGCTTTTTTAAAAAAAATCAATAAAGTAGTTTGAAGGCCACACCTGATCATTTTGAATCAGCTATTGAATTGAGCCCCAACCATTCACTTACCATAGACCAAAATAGACCATGATCAATACTTTGGAAAAATTAATATCACCATGAAAACTGAAACACGTACAAAACAATAGACTTTAAACCATAAATTTTATGTGATCTAGGTTTCTTTCAGAAGAGGTATTTAATTTTAGTATAATTTCAGAGCTGAGCAAAGAGTTTCCAGCAATCTGATTCAGTGGTCAAGCAGTTCCTTATATGATGCTGTCTAAACTGCTCCACGCAGTTTATATAAAATATTGAAATAAAATGTTAATAAATGTTACCAAAATGTTATGATTTTAGAAATTTCTCCGTTGTTCAGCTCTGAAATTATACTAAAACAATTATTCGCCTCAGGTTCAGTGAATATAGTCGAATAATCCCCTGGACTTCGTCTCGGGGATTATTCAACGATATTCACCTTGCCTTCGGTGAATAATTGTTAAGTACACACAGTAAACTGTGGTATATGGTATATAAAATATCAACACCACTAAAAAGATATGTATTTGATTTGAAATAAAAATGCAAAAAAACTTTCTAAACAATTCTTTATCTAAAACATTTCAGTTAAATTGTTATTCTACACAATTTTCACATAAAGAATGGCCTTATTTTGTGTTATCCTGGAATTTTCCATTTGTTACTTAATGATGTACTTGTGTGTTAATAAGCCTGTTTGTCCCCTGCAAACATTCGAATTAATGTATAATTAAATGTGGACAAGTTAAAGGCAGATGCTCCTGACTGATCCCGTTTCAGTGACAAATACTGGTATGGACCCCCTGTGCATGACTCAAGGACTGGCTTTATAACCTAGTTGTTTGAGTCACTAGAAAGGGTAAACAACTCACGCTTTCATATGTTGACAAACCACTTACATTAAAACAGAAAATTAATCCCTCTTGTATAATAACCCATGTTGACTACTGAGTCAACTCTGGTTAGGCAGGTTTGAAATATGTTCAATCTTTTTTTCATACAAAACACCTGCCCAAAAGTTAAAAAGATAAAATTTGTGTGCGATTAAGAACAAAAAAAATGTACAAACACTTGGGGACTGCAATCTATGCCTTGAAGGATCAAGCCTTGTGTAAAAGTGATATGGAAGAACTGTTAACTAACGTAATAATAGTGAAAGGATTATAATATCAAAAGTTGGGAGACTCAAAATGTTGCTATATAAGCCTCATTTTCCAAGTGGAGGGCTAAACCTCCTTAGTGCAACAGATTTGGGAGAGAGGGGTAATCTGTGAGAAATTGCCTGACCATTGCTTCATGTTTTGATTCCCCCTTTAAGAAATACCATCTCTATCAGGAGCCTACTGGCTTTTTTTGTTTTGTTTTGTTTTTCAATTCCCCCATAAAAAACACTTTGCCTGCATGCAGTAATGGAAATGCTACTTTGACTCTTGATCACTTCACAATATGATGCAGATCAGTAGCTGCTGAGTTATGCTGGAACTCATCTTCTTAGTCATCAACATTTGACATATCCATTCTGTTTTTCACCAGATGTGGTGCACTCTAACTATAAGCAGCTTGAGAGCAAGATATTTTTCTAATTTACCTACTAACACTTTGGTAAAGACTACATTGATGGCCATCCTAATCCAGTAACTGGGATCACTTTTCTATTTCTCTTCAGCTGGTTTAATTTTCTTAGATTTTCTCAAAAAGTCCAGGTACCAGGCTTTGGTCAGCTACTTTAAATTCTCAACCGAAAAAATAATATAATTATACATTATTATCCTAGTTTTTCTCAACTGTCTTGCAGATTTTACAATGTAGAGGTTTGATCGTTAGAAAATAACATACTTGCATGGGAAAATTAATTATCCATTGATTGATGCAAATATCCATGATTCAGTTATTTACAGAAGTGATGCCTTCAGTGTATGCCAGATACTGTAAATGAATTACCTCTGAATCACAATGAACAAAATAGTTTCTTACTACATTGTTTTCAAAACATATGGGTGCCCAAATACTTTTGTCATTTAAACTTAAAACTGGCAGTCATCAGCAGATCACTAATTTGATTGACAGGTCAATTGTGAACTCCAAAACTGCAAACTATAATTACAGTTTTTGTTTGAGCCCTGGTTCTCTCGTGTCTTTAGATTGACTATTTCTATGAAAAACAACAACATTCAATCAATATTTCATTTCTAAAGGACTATCTGAGTTTCACAGCGAGCCAACAGCTGCTCCAAGATGTGCTTAGTAGAAACATGATCCGAAAGTACCTTTTAGAAGTGCAGTGGAATCCCGATTTCTCGAACCTCCAGGGGAAACGCAAATTGGTTCGTGAAATCGGGAGTTAGAGAAAAGGGGGGTGAAATTACAAGTAAAGCAAATCCAAGGGAAACAGGGTTTGGTTCGAAAGATATCGGGAGGTTCGAGAAACCGGCCGAGGGTTCGAGAAATCAGGGTTCCACTGTAGTAGATTATGAAGTGTTGCTGCGAACCTTGCGAGATAGAGGTAAGGTTCCTTTCTTTTTGTGTTCCGGTATTGGCGGGAAAGCAGACAGACAGACAGAAAGAAAGATCTTTCATATTGGTTTCCGTTAGACAAATCTCGAAGTTGGATACCTTGCATTGAACGTCACGATGTACAAACTTGTAATTTATATGAGGCAATCTACACATGTAGATCACGTGGTGCTGCGATGGCCGAGTGGTTAAGGCGTTGGACTCGAAATCCAATGGGATCTTCCCGCGCAGGTTCGAATCCTGCTCGCAGCGAAAGGGACATTTTTCCTTTTTCCTTCTCAATAATTCAGACAAATTCAAACTTCACAGAACAAACGATAAGCGTGGTTGTTTAGTTGAAATTTCACAGAAAAGCTTTTTTTTCCGATTCGGCCAACTGCCCACGGACCCTGTGGACCTCACGGACATTTAACCGCGAAACCCAGCCTGGTGCCGAAGAATACTTTATATTTTCCTTGTAATATCGACAACGGGAGATAATTACTCGGGCTTCGGTTGAAAAGGCCGAGTCTTAAAATGCAAGGCGTTCTTGGTCGCCAAAATAGGGATCATGGTCCTAAGCATTCCTTGCGTAAACCGCGGAAACTGGAGATCACAGTGCGACAACTTAATTGTGTTATCATATGGAGTCTCTCCTCGTGAACAACATAATTTATAAAATGCTGTGTTTCGTGAAGTCCGCCTCTCAAAGATTCCTGTCTTATACGCTCATCTCACGTACAAACGCACACGCCGTTCGTGGTAGGCCCACACTAAATAATGTCGAGCGTCTCCGGAATGGGCCGGTCCACTAACCCAATATAGTAGTATACTAGGTCCCTTTCTCCCTCTTTTTTCTTTCCTGCTAAGGAAAAATTGTATTGAAAATCAGTCCCAGGTCTTAGTCAAAGTAAACAGGACGAACAGGACGAACAGGACGAAGAGGACTGTTATAATGACAACGGATCACTATTACGATGTAATACCAAGAGAATGAGGTGCAGCTAGGTGAGCATATGAGTTCCGTACAAAAAATAAGAATTTCAGTGACACTAGTTTCATCTTTTCTGAATTTCTATGTTATACTGCTTGTCTGTCAAAAGAGTTCCGTTTCTGTCTGATAAGAAATTGTGCGTAATATTGTGGGGGAAAAAGATGATGTATAAAAATGTAATTGAAAAATTATCTCTGCGTTGGCCGGGAATCGAACCCGGGTCAACTGCTTGGAAGGCAGCTATGCTCACCACTATACCACCAACGCCTACCTAGCAAAATAGATGTAAATTTAAATAATTATTTCATTAGTATTGAAACGCCTAATTGAAAAGTAAGACGAAAGTGGGCTATTGAGTGTTTCAGCATATTGTCCTTTTTCTAAACAATCCAATCATAAAATATTAAAAATATACAAAAGCCTAAGAGATAGCTTGAGGTGATGTCAGTAACAGGAAAACGCAGCACATGAAGATTATATGAATCAATCCTCTGCTGCCTTTCATGAAAGCGAGGCCTACGGAAACAGGTCTCTTAGCACATCTGATCAATGAAGAAAATGCGATGAAAAGAGAAAATTACTATGCCTCAGTTCTACAGAAACACTAAACAATCACACTGAAAAGGATTGCACAGACCACAATACAATCATACCATTTATTTTCAATCTGCTGAAATGCTGGACTGCGACGGTGGCACCTACCCTCCGTCAGTTGTGAGTTAAATGATGGATAAGTGTTGCAATGGAATACATAACAAAAAGGAACTGAAATTAGCTATATAAAAGGCGTTAAAAAGGAAGGTAATACCAAAACAAAACGCTAGTGGAAAACACACCGAAATGACAACATTTAATTTGCATATTAAATCGAGGTTCACATGGCCGATTGAAGAACATGAAAGACTATGAAAGCAATCTCTAAGTAGGAGGAGTAGGGAGGAAAACCATTTTCGGAACTCATGGGTTATTTAAGAGCGTTTGTGCGAAGATGGACATTTACGAACGTGAACTGACATAAAGAAATGTGTTTTAAGGTTTTCTGAGGTCACCAACATCGGTGTAACAAGAACCACGGCTTCAACAAGTGATCTTAAGACCGCCCAAGAACATTACCTTGTCCTTTGAATTTACACCGCGATATACTGCTGAAAGTTACCTTAACTGAGTCACGGTAAACGCTTTGGTGAGTATGCTAGAGACATGGTTCTCATTCGACAAACTTCCCGCAAAGACGCGTGGCAAATTTTTGTGGAATGTGAACTTTTTACAGACTCAACGAGTTAGTACAGGCCTCTTTTCGGAACAGTTGGTTGGTTGGTAGGGTTCCCTCGGCATTTCTATTTGTATTTTAAATTGGCTTTCGAATTTTTTTTCTTTTTTGCTTCATTTGTATTCAATTTGAATTTGTTTACAATTCTTGAGCAGAAATATACAGCAGCAGCTTGCATGAATAAACCTGCCTTCAATTGACAGTTGAAGGGGAATAAAAGGCGCAAGTCCACTTCTAACAACTTTCCGTTTATTTTCTTTTTTGTTGTTGTTTAGTATTCCCGCTAACTGAAGCTCTAATTTGAAGCTGTTTGATAATGTTAAAAGTTCTGGCTTGCCCATAGCCCCGATACCGTTATAAACTACCTAGGATACTGGGTTACAATTCAGGTAGTACACCAATTTATATAATTTCAGGTTGAGAATACTAACAACGTTTCTCCGATGGAAAAAAATTATAGCAGAGATAGGATTTTTTGTAAACAAACTGGATATCGCACAGCGTACAGAATCAGTCCATGTCATATAACCTGGGACCTTAAGTATGAATACTTGGAATTTGATTCAACAGTATCTGTAACAATTTTTATCTTAGGCAATGCATCATTTTATTTTTATCATCATTATAGCAATACTGTATCCCTTCGCAACGTTCATTGGTGGGATCGACGAGAACGATTCAGAATTTTTTATTGAGTCCGACGACCGATAAAACCCTATTCAGGAACTTGTTTACTGACACCTGCACTAAGCAAATGTTTATCTCGGCACGTATGTAAGGAAGAGCTGGCTCTGTCCGTTTGTATTATCTATCCGCCACATCTAAAAGATCGCCTAGCGACAGGGGCGGTGGAAGCGAACGATAAGTTATGAACTGAACGGTTTTGTCAAAGCTCTCGTATTTTAAACCACCATCGATTTTCATCTGCTTTGAGAATTCATCTTCCAGCCTTCTGTGGCGAGGCATTACAGGTTCTGGATAGTATGTTCTTTCACGCAGTTCAATGTCTAAATATTTTTCCAGCGATAGAAGTTCTTGCTGTTCTTTTTCAAGCATTTCTAGTATTTCATCCATCTCGGCCAAAAGCTGTAACTCTTCACTAGATAATGACGAATCTTCCATAAACGATTTAATATCGGAGCTCGTAAAGCTTTTGATGTCCGTTTGCAGGATTTGTTCTAATTCTGACACACGTCTACTGAGAATAACCCTACCAATTTGCAGTCGTTCGTGTTGTCGCTTTATTTCAGAAAGTTCCTTAAGGAATATATCATGCATTTCGTCCATCTTAGAATCAAAACCTTCCATATCCTCTTTGCTGGAGAATTGAACTCCACGAGAAATAAGCTGAGAATCAGTCACATCGTCACTTTTTCGTTCCGCGCCCTGAAAATCCCTCCTTTCACCATTCAGCTTCACTTGTCGTTCGTTGATATTATTCTTTTTTCTCTGTGATTTGGGAGTGTTCTTTTCTCCTTTCTCATGCCACCAACCGTCGAATAAAAGTAACCAAAACTGCTTGAATTTATAGCAAAGAGACATATCGTAGAGACCTAACCTCTCGTGTCGCTTGCACAGGAAGTGTCATAGTAGCAAAGGGAGTTTATATTCAAGTTGTACTTCTTTAAGATGTTCCCGCCAGGCAGGCTTCGAAAAAAAGCTCGTCTTCTCGTACATGTGTCCTTCCTTCTTGCTCTTAGGGTGGTAGAACCCCCGAATGAGCTAAAACATTCCTTTATTCCAAGGTCGACCTCCTAAAGCTGGGAAAGTCGCCTTAAAAGACGAACAAAAAAACCCGTCAAACCACTTTTTTTTTATCAGCCACCCACGCGTCGTACACAGAACAGGTGATTCGGTGGTTTTTCCCTTTGAGCGTCGCCTGTGATGAGCTGTGTTGTTTTATCCAATTAGCCAATCAAATTACGGCATCACGTTCAGGTACCCGTTAATTCTACACTAATTATCTTTATAAACATGTGACTTGAAATTCTCAGCTCTACAATTCCCAAAAACGATAGCAAAAAATAAATAATAGAGCAAAAGTGATTATCATTACCATTAGTATCTTTTTTTAAACAAATCGGAGTTTTACACTTAAAGCAATAAGATCCGTCGAAGATCCCTTTGTTCCGATACGGTTAGCTAGAAAAATTCCCTTGAATAATATTGTTTATGTCTCGAATGGAAGATGTTTTATGTCTTACTGACGGGAAAAGAAGTTCTTTGTTTCAAATACAGCTTGTAGAATTAACCATCTCATCATGAGAAGCGTTTTGTTGTCAAGAAAAGACTCTTAGTATACTTAAGACTCTATGATATAGTCAAGCAGACTCGTAGCAGAAAGGGTAACGCCCATTTAACAAGGTGTATCAGATTTCACCGGAATTATAGCACTGACAACTCTATGATTGCAAATGTTCCTTTGTTAGCCCCCCTTTAGGAGGTAAACAGTCAGAAAAAGGATGCAAGGAAACCAGGGTTCTGAAATCAGAAAAAAAGTGCAATTCGATGATACCAAGGTCGAATTTGGAGCTACGCTTAAAAGCTCTATGAAGTGTTATTGACTAGAAATGTAATCCAAACCCTTAATTTATCCAATTCATGTACAACTGGAAAACCAATGCACTGATCTTTTTAATGTCATGTGCTGATACCTCTACCGTTTAAGCGTGTCACTTGTTGGTTCTAAAGCTTGAGTGAATGCTAATGAAGGGTTAATGATGGTAGTGGGAGCAATTCGTTATTCGGAAATTAATGACTACTCAGAAAGTCTTCTCCTTCTTTGCAATCTCCTTGCTGTACACTCCTTACTGTACGCTCCTTACTGTACACTACAAAGAGGTAAAAATTATGTTCATAACAATCTGATCAGTTGTGCGAAACCGTCTGTGATAGAGATGCTTTGAGGAAGTGAACATCTCTTTATTTAGCTTTTTTATACCAAAGTGGTGTATGACTTCTTGTGCAGTTTGGGTAACAAAAGCGTTTAAGAATTGTCTTTCGATCTGATCATCGACAGAACATTGTGCAAGCTCTCCGCGCAACCTTATGATAAAAAACTAAGGTCTTAAACAACTCAAATATTCCTCCATTTCGAACAAAAACCAAGCGAGGTCAATTGCTGGAGCATCCTTGCTGACCGACTATTCCGAACCTGCAATCTTTTAACTCAGCGTCTCCTTCTTTAGAGTTTGTAACTGATCGAATTTGGAACAGATGATCCATGAGACATACACCTGTTGTTTTTCATTAAATCATTTACATAACCTGTTCCCAGATTAAATAGCGCTTAGAATTACGTTTGAACAACGATTGCCTGAGCCAAGGACAAGGCCCATTTTAATTTTAGTCGCTTTCCACGGTGCTTAACAACAAGGATTGAATTGCATAAACAGGCATCTAAAGCAGACCAGTGGTCAACTCGATGAGAGATGCATCTCAAATTGTTTATCTGACGTCGAAGACAAACAAGACAGCTGTCTAAACAAACTTTTAATTTTTGAAGAAATTATCTCTTCTCACGCCACACCGTAATTAGGCGAGATGCGGTATCCGCAAGGACACTGAAGAGAAAACCACATAATTCGCTAATCAAACTGAATTAAGATCTTGAAATAGTTGATTTACAGTCTACGGTCAGCATTTTTCATTAAGTGGCTGTTCTGGAAGGAAGATATTTATTTACAAAGTCAACAATTCTCACAGGTGGGAGCTCAATTCCTCAACAAAGAAACTCCTGTATGAAATTAACTAGTACCTGAAATTTTCAACTTGATCCACTTGTTTCGGAGACACACGGTAAAAAGTAACTGGTATCACGAGGTGCTAAGGTGAAATGGAAATGAAAGAAAACAGCAAGGAAACGGAGAAGTTAGAGAGAAGTGCAGACTTTCTCAACTCTCCAGACACCAAACCAGACATCCAACCGGGTGAAGACAAACTAGCCTCGTCATTTGCAACTTTCTGGAACATTTGCAACACAATTCAAGGTTTACCGATATTGGTCATACCTTATGCCGTCCGGAATGGTGGCTACTTGGCCATCCTTACTCTTTTGCTTGTCGCGGCTGCTTCTAATTACACTGGAAAAACAATTGTTCGTTGCCTCTATGAAATAGATCCAAAGAGCGGTAAACGAAAAAGGGTCCGCAATTCCTACGCAGATATCGGCGACGCTTTTCTGCCAAACTTAGGAGGCCATATTGTCCTTGCTACTCAGTTTATAGAGCTGTTGTTTGTAGCTTCAGTTTATCCTTTATTAGTAGGAAGATTACTGGCAAAATCGTTTCCTCACGTTGCTGTTCCTTGCTGGCTCTGGACACTCTTTGGCGGAATACTTTTTGTTCCAAATATTTTTCTTAAAAACCTTTCTCAAGTGGCGTGGACCAGCATCTTGACAGTTCTTTCCGCCAAAATTATCTTCATTACAGTGTTTGCTTACAGCTTATCCTGGTTCCACAGGTGGGAGCTCAGTTCTTTGAGACATTTTAATGCCAGTACATTTCCATCAGCGTTAGGAATACTTGTAGCAAGTTATCTATCACAGCCCTTTGTGTCCCTCATCGAAGGCAGCATGCGCTACAAAGACAAATTCAACTTTTTGATGAACCTTGCGTACGGAATAATGACATTGCTCAACGTGATCATTGGAGTAGTCGCTTACATCTCATTTCATCCCAACACGGCTGAAGTCATAACAAACAACCTACCAGAAGGCTCATTCCGTCGAGCAGTGAATGTTATGGCGGCTGTGTTGTCTTTTACATCCTATACATTACCGATGTTCACTATATTTAACATTGTTGAAAACTCCAACTTTCCATGTTTACCAGAGGATCTCGCTAGATCCATCTTAAAACCATCCGTTATCTTCCTTCGTTTATCAATGGTATCTACAAGTATCATTTTCGCTGCTACTTTTCCCGCCTACACCTATCTATTAGCATTTGTCGGCAGTATCGCTGGTATCAGTTTGGAGTTCATATTCCCACCTTTGATTCATCTAAAGTTGTACTGCCATGACATGACATGGTGTAACATTATAGTTGACATAATTGTTCTTGTTGTGGGGATTTCTGTTTCAGTGACCGGAGCGTTCTTTTCTGGGCGTTCAATGATCAGTACTTACAGTCAACCGATAATCCATTACTGCTCGTAACGCTCAGGTGCTCGACTCGCGGAGACCCAGAATAAGTTGATATCAATAACAGTAAGATACTTAGCGAAAAACATATGAAAGAGGCACTAAAAAAAACAATGTGATCTTCTCTTATGAAGCCAAAAAAAGCTTTCAACTAATATGTTTGTGTCCTTTTCTAGTTCTGTAGTTTTGTAATTAAATAGTTAGTTACACTTGTACCTGCGACCTATTTTGGGGATTATTTAACTATGCAGAAAAAGAATTTTTGTTAGCCAAATTTTACTGATTAAGTACAATTCTAAGGATGTAAGGAAAAGAGTTTTAAAAATATGCATATAAGGATGTGGAAAAAGAGGGTAGGTTTCTTTGGTCCGTGTGAGAATCGAACTCACGACCTTGGCTTTATCAGCACCACGCTCTGCCGACTGAGCTAACGGACCTAACTACTGGTTTTGTAAGTTAAAAGGAGCGAGAAAAGGGAAAGGAAAAACCCTAATCCAAGAATGCGACTGGCCAGGTATCGTTATAGTGTCTGAGGTACATCATTTTATCGTTGTTCGATCGATGGCCGTCAATGAAGGAAAAACCGCGCACAAAGAGAGATGTTAAAGCATCTTTAAACTGGTCAATCAGTCTCCACTTTTCTATTTATATAATTACTTTGTGGTCATGTTCACTGATTTTTTCCTAAACTAACAGTTGAAAATATTTTGATATCTAATTTTAATAGTTAATATTTATAAAATGAATGGCTAACCTCTTTGATAAATCATTGATTCTTGTCAGTGACCACGCCACGCAACGTTATTCACGCCGTTCGACTAAGTCATGCGAAAAGTTGACATCTTGTCGAGCGTGTTAAAAGCTGTCGTGAGTTTCTATAGTAAAAAAAGACACATTGTAAAGCTTTCGAGCAATTCAAGACAAGAATTTCTGTTGGGGAAAAGCATTGGAGGTCTACAGCAACAAATAATTGGTTTCCTAGGGATCAATGACTTGTCTGCCAAATTTGGGCTCGACTCATACGAGCTCCAGCTCTACCGACTTGTAAAATTTGTAAACCACCATGCCGTTTCACACTTTAAATATGATGCCTTCAGCGTCCTGTAATGTGCTAAAGATAACGGTGGCATCCAGAAGGAGTACCCAAGGGGTATGACAAAGTGCCCTGGCTCCTAATACCCAGTGCCCCAGTCTATTATGCATTTCCTGTCTGTCCATTTTATTGAACCTCTGCCTTCTTAGACAATTTCCGAAGAAAGGGAGGTTGTCATGAAAGAGTGGATAGAGAGCAACCGACGGGTGAGACAGATGACTGTTCGAGCAGAAATCACAAAGGACACAGCAGGTGCACTCCCCAGCTATTTAGGCAGAACCCAAACCTCTAGCAGTGTGGACATTTTCTTTTTCATGATGACTGCAATGGAGACGATATATCTCTTAATTCTATACCCGTGAGAGATTTGCTTCGTCCAACTATAACTTTTTATTAAAGACACAAGCATACCACAGTTCCATACCAGCGTTGGATTTAATGCAACACATGAGTACGAAAGTTACTGAAAAAGTGAATTCATGGAACATGAAGATGAAGATGAAGACTCATTCCTTTACAAGATCTGGACGGCAAATTAAAGCTTCAGAAAAAGTTTATCTTTGAATTTATCTCACTGCTCCGTGCCACAGCGTTTATAAAGCGTTTGAGATATTCCTGAATTGTAGTTAAACATGGACTTATACCATCATCAAGTGCTGGAGGACATTACGCACCATACGACAATTTCCTGTACCTACCATAATGAATCAGATCAGATGGAATCACTACGTCAGCAATAAAGTCGTTTTTGGACTAGTCTTTGTGGAATTAATTGGAAAAGGAAAGTAAATTGATTCGACTTCGGAGGTTTGGCCATGTCATAAGGATGGGCTACAACAACTCAGGGAAGGCACTAATGCTGAGTAAAACGTCAACGAACTGCCGCGATATGAAGGCACTCTCGAATATAGTGTTATTGATCGCCAAATGTAACAGCTGTAGCATGCAGATGACCGCTCTGACGAATCTAGGTTGGGGAGTAAGGTCTAAAAAATTCTATTGATGTGGTTTGCACGTGTAACAGAAGGAAGTAAGGATTCGTTTGAAGTTAGTCATAAATTATTGTTAGAGGTCTAACAATGAGGGAGTACGCCTCACTCTACTCCGTCAATGGGAGACTGACAAACCCTCTAAATGGTAGATATCGAACAATGAAAAATCTTAATATTAACTTAAACTCATCGAAGAACTCTCCTGATCACCTTCAGACCTAAAATTCAACCGTCAGCCGTCAAAGATCCAAATATTTAACCGTCAGCCGTCAAAATCGGAAAAAGGTAACCATAAAGAAAAACATATCGTAGGCTCCAATATAAGCTGGAACTACGAAACTCTCTTTTCATAAGCATAAACTAGTGGTGACTAACTGTAATATCCCAAAAGCTATCAGACTATTACAAAAAAAAAAAAAACATACGAATCTCCAAGTGGAGAATCCGGGTATCGATCCCGGTACCTCCCGCATGCGAAGCGGGCGCTCTACCATTTGAGCTAATTCCCCGTCTTACATACACCACGTTTTTCAAGTGTATCAAAAGATATTTCATGGGTTCTATACCAGTCCTTGATACTTTTATGCTTTGTGAACAACAACGTCATTGTTTTGTACCCAATAATTGATCTTGTAGTCCAGTCTCCGGGTGAGAGTAGTCCTGAGAATGGCTGTGGTTGGCTAGTAGTAACTGATGTTTCGTCAACCTTAGCGGAAGTCATCGTCAGAGTGAAAAGCTGTTGTCAGTTGAGTGTTTTAAGTCCGATGTCCGACACATGTCGACACACAGTTTAATAAAGAATTCCAGACTGCCCGTTTAGCCGTGAAAGGACCTCGATATGAACAACAATTCAATTAGAGCCGAAAACCGACCCATACTGACAGATTACTCGGCGAGTAAGCCCACAACCCACGAGACGGTGTGTAACTAGTTTACAGCACGACCAACGAAAGCAATTACTTTGACCGCGTCATTTCCAAGAAAAACTACAACGATGACTTCATTCCCCAAACCACCTAACGACCCATTGAAACAAACGATAGCGCGACGCTCACGACTACAGTGACTATACTGTACTTTACAAGGGCATGTCTGAAACATATCGCGGATCCTACAACTTTATGATACCTGCGTCTCCCATTCACAGATCACCAAGTCATTTCATTTACTAAATAACGTCAAAGACAAGGACAAACTGATCAACAAACAAGAGGAAGTTTATAAGACCAATTTCTCCGACTATAGAACTTCTTATATTAGAGAGAATGGTACGAATCTGAACGCAAGACTGAACAGAAACGATCGACGAAAAAGGGTGCATGATGTTAAGGATAAGTTGAGAAAACGGACACCACCCCTCCTACCCATATAAACGTATTTGTCACGAGTTGCCATGGCAAAAAGAATAAAAAACGTACGAAGTTCGTTTTGGTCCGCCATATTGTTTGTATGTTTGCTTTCAATGTAAATGATTTCGACCTCTCCTTCCACGGCCGGTAACAATGACGCCATCAATCACATCGTTGAACATCATTCAATCACGCGATGCTTAGCCTACATTACTAACTACTTTCAACGACTGGCGCTGGAAAGCGGGTTCTCTCATTATAACTTAGCACAGACTCACCTAAACAGACGTCATCAAGTACCGACACTACACAAACTACGTATTCACGACATTTACATGACCAACTTATGCTACTAGAGTTTTTCCGCCCACTGATGACAAAAAGGAAACACCTCTTCACTCAAGTCTGTTCCGATTTGACTTTTATTAAGGTTTTTGGAGCTTCAGTAACTATTACAGACAACGGTCCTTCCTATAGGACTACTCTGACCTTAGACGATCATAAGTAATGATAAAAAACTACTGCTGTAAAGTTTAAACATGCAGTAATCAGAGATACTGCTGCTGACAGAAACCGCTCCCCTGTTTACATCTGATGTTCCTGGAAACTGTTTTAATTTTGGCTATTTAATGGCGAGTGAATCTATTGATGAGGAATACTGAGGAATAATTGTGACAAAATTGAACTTTCGGTAAATATAATTGTTGTGATTACTAGGTTCTTTTGTGGTGTTATTCTAGAGATGAATAACAGATTTACCAATGATGATTAACGATTTAAGCTTTATCATGTACGACACGGAAAACTTTGCTTCCTAAATGTATTCTTGTTTGTTCACCTCGTCCCTTCCGGCACAATCTCAACGGTTATTTAAAACTGCACTTTCGCTGTTCTTCTAAAACTTTTACCTGCTTGTATTACATTGAATCTACTCTGTCTGTCTGTTAATCGGCCTTTATCGTTTTCACCCGCTTCAATTTTCAAAAAGCAACAAGAACTGCCGCGGTACTTGCCTGACATTTTATGCTCTTCGAAGAGCATAATTTGAAGGGCATAATTTTTCATTATAATTTGCATAATCCATAATCGGCCCTTGGGCATTACCGCTGTTTATTATATGGCTGTGTCTCACAAGGACTGGGAACTACCGAATTCACGAATTTGATTGGCTGAAATCAATATTAAAAGCGGTCTAGATTTTCCCATCTAGACCGGCATCTAGACCGGTCTAGAAAAAAAGGTACAAAGAATATAAGAAATTGGCATATAAGACACAGCCATATAATAAACATCTTATTAACCGAGCTAGGTCGGTCTGCATGAGAGAATCTTGACCTCGGTCGCTGGCACAGACCTCACTGCGTTCGGTCTGTACTAGCGACCTCGGTCAAGATTCTCCCATACATACCTCCCGCTCGGTTAATAAGAACTAATTAATGCCCTGCTCTGATATCGCTCTTTACCAATCAGAGCGCGCGTCACATCGGCCACAAGCTAAGCTCATATGATAGATACGCGTTATTAACTGAGCGGGAGATCAAGATGGCTGGATATTGGCTAATATCCAGCCATCTTGACCGAACAAGCTTGGTTAATGAAGGATTTATATATTGCAAAAAGTTTTCGCTTTATCACTTATTAAGAATGACTTGTTTAGTTCGAGGGCCGGGAAAGAATGCCAACTGTCTTTGTAGCAAAACAAACTCACGAGATTCGTTTCTGTTTTCTTTATTTTGACATATCTTTTGCAGCTATTTGCGTTTCCATCGTCGACATTGTCCGGGAACTACAAAAGTAGTTCTAATTCAATTTTTTTTTCATACGCGGGATCAATGTGGGCAACCCCGAGTGGGCACGATGGGCCTATCTTGCCCTTCTTTAGCGGCTCACGAAGTAAACAAGTCGTCCTTGATTCTCAATAAAGCGAAATATTTTTGCAATATAATAAATCCTTT